ACAAGTGTGTATAAAAGGTGACTGCATGCTGAGCAGTACCCTGCTCTTAGCACTTGGGACACAGGGACCTTTTCAAAATACAGCCTTGTCATTATTGCCCTGAAACCCCTCAGGAGCTGCCAGTGCCAGGAACTCTTAGATTCAAACCAGGTTACAAAGGCCCGCCTGCTTACCCCTGCAGGTCTCTCCAGCTCACCTTGCACCATTCCTCCACACCTCTGTCTCTCTAACCACACTTGTCTCTTTGGTTCTTTGAAGATGCCATGTTCCCTACCAATCCAGGACCTTTGCATATGCTGTTCCCTCTGCCCAGAAGACTCTTCCTGTCTCTGCTCCCCTCCCTTTTGCCCAGGGAGTTCTTATACTTGGAACCTCAGCTCAGGTATGACTTCTTCAGAGAAAACCCATCTACTTGTTATTATCTCCTGGTTATGAAGTTATTTGAGTAATGCCAGTGCCCCCCATGGAATGTTTGCTTGTAGGTCCTCTGACAGCTGGAGCATGATCTTGTTGGGGACAGTGTCTGCAATGTTCACAATGGTCTCCAGCTCCTAGCAGAATGCCTAATATGGTTTGGGCACCACATGAGTACTTGTTGAATGAATGAATGAATGAATGAATGAATGATAAACAGGATATGGTCCATAGCCTTTCAGCCTAGTGTAGATCCAAACCAGGGTGTTAGCTCCTGAAAGAGATAGAGGTGGCCATCTCTCCCAGCTACAGTCTGGGTTCCAGCTCCCCCTGGGCCTGGCTGCATCAACTCCTGGTCTACCCCCTACAACAGTAATGTTCACACACCATCTGGCCCTTTGTTTACTTCAAATTTGCAAAAACCTACTGAGGTCTTCTTGTGTTACTACTGAGAAGTTGGACAACCAGAGGTTAAGCAAATTGCTCAGACCCACGTGGTTGCTCAAGTCCATATTTAACCTTGTTTTCTTGCTGCCTCCTGGACTCTGCTTCCTCCAAACTTAGCACCAGCTCTGGGTAACAGAGAGTATTTGCACCTGCACTGGGGACTTCGCCCTAGAACAGCAATTTTCAATCCGTGTGCCTCAAGAGTTTTTAAAACATGCAATACCTGACTCTCTAGTCAGGGGCACTGACCTCTTTTCATTTAGATTGTCAAATTTAAAAAAAAAAATAACAGCCAATTCGGTAGCCATCCACTGTGAAGGATCAAAATTATACTATTTTTGTCACGTTGGTCAAAAATTAATATATTTTTTCATGTGCCACAAAATTTTAGTAATTAGTTTACGTGTGCCATGAAATGAAAAAAGCTGAAAATCTTTGCCCTTGAACGGTGTACTTTCTTTGCGATTGTTAGGGCGCCTGGAACCTGGACCGAGCGCCCCCTCGTGGCTACCACGGAGAAAAGAAATAGAAGTGGCGGTGAACGCGTGGATTTCGTGTGGTAGTAGCTGCACGCACCACCCTCATACGCAATTCCCTGCGATATCGAGGTACTGGTTTGAGTAATCCGTGCAAGGTGTTCTGTCCGTCCCCGACAACTGCCTCAGGCGGGTTTTGAAAGGCTGCAGCACCGGTACCCAATGCAAAGTTGGCGGGGAGAATCAGGAATGTAGAAACTCCTTCCTGGTCTCAGATGCCCCGCCTGTGAAGTGGAGATGATGAGAACCATCCTGTTCGAGCCAAGACTGCCCCAGGGGCGGACTGGCATCCAGGCAGCCTTGGGGGACTAAGACGGGCTGGGGGCTCTCAGGAGGGTGCCAATTCTTCGCATAAATCCCTGGGAAACTTGCAGCCTCAACCTGCTGGGAATCTGGGAGGGGAGGGTTGGAGGTGGAAACTTTACCTTAAATATCTTGGTTAGTACATAAAACATACACTTGATCACAATACCAAAAGTAAATTAGAATTTCGGTCCACTGCTTCTAATCACTCTTTATAAAAATGGTCTTTAGTTGGCTAAAAATGATTCAGGATACAAATTAGTTCCATGATCACTATATCATTGCTTTGTTTCAGGGAATAATTTGATTCCTAACAAAATCCAATCCTTGTGTTAAGTATTTTTTCCTGTCTGGTTAGGTTCTGGGTACATTGGAGAAATATACATATTTGCATTTTCTCAATATCTTATTTTAGGGTAATTTAATCTGTTTAATCCCCAGCTTCATTGCAAACAAGGATAGAGACAGCAATAGTTTCTTGCCTGCTGATGTGTGCCAGGCACTGGAGGCAGAGAAGTGACTTGGGGATGGTGAGAGGTGGTTGAAATTGTGACTGGGCCACAGGATATCCTGGCCTTGGTGGGTGAGACCATGTGTTGTATTTGCAGAGTGTTTCATCCTCTGGTCTACTGCACAGCTGAGTTTGCTTGCAGTCATGAGGAAGTTGTGGTCCATGGAGGCTGCAGGGGGTGGGGAGCAGGGACTGGCCCCTCATTTTATCTCAGTTCCCATAACAGAGGTACATATCTTGTAGCCTCACAAATATTCTGAAGGGTCAGGATAAAGAGAGGGAATGAGAGTAAAAGAATCACTGGAGAGGACCAGAATGGGGAGGATGTTGCCAAATGCCAATTTATTACCTTTATTTCCTGACCACATTTGACCCTTTGTTGTATGTGGCTCTCCTGCTTCTATTCCCACCCCACAGGAATGTATATGGTCTTCTAGAAGGGAATGCTTTCAGTCCCTGATCCTGAGGTATGTCATTTTAACCATGTTTTATTTTTATTTTTTATTGATTTGAGAAATGTTCATTTTGTTGTTCACTTATGTATGCATTCATTGGTTGATTCTTTTTTAAAAAATATTTTATTTATTTTTTTAGAGGGAGAAACATTGATCAGTTGCCTTTCATAAGTACCGTAACGTGGAACCCACAACCCAGTCATGTGCACTGAGCAAGAATTGAACCAGCGAACTTTTAGTTTGCAGGCCAACACCCAACCAATTGAGCCACACCGGTCAGGGGCATTGGTTAATTCTTGTATGTGCCATGACCAAGGTTGGAACCCGCAATCTTGGCATATCAGGATCATGCTCCCAACAGCTGAGCTAACCAGACAGGCTCCAACCATGTTTTAGAGTGGACATACAGGTATTTTCTTTCTTGTGTCCTCTTCACTCCTTTAGAAAGTTGAACTACTCTCAACTCTGCAGCATGTTTTCAGAGGCAGTCAGTTGTCAGCTTGGGCAGTGTGAGCTGTGGGTAGAGGAAAATACAATGGTGGGTGAGTGTGGAGGCTCGAAAGGGAGAAGGAGCTTCGCTGAGACATCCCTGACACTCAACCATGTGGTCTAAAACCCAGGGAGAAATGCTCTCCCCTACCCAGCGCCCTCAAGGTTCTCCCTCTATCATAAGCTCCAAGTATTGATCCTCTTTCTGGAGTCAAACTCCAGAACAAAGGAAGAAATGAATACGTCTACCTCATTAGCAATCAGAAGAGCCAGTTAAGATAGCAATGAGATATTGGGCAATTTGGCAACTTTAAATGTGTGTAATTTAGCCCTGGCTGGCGTAGCTCAGTGGATTGAGCGCAGGCTGCGAACCAAAGTGTTGCAGGTTCGATTCCCAGCCAGGGTACATGCCTGGGTTGCAGGCCATGATCCCCAGCAACTGCACATTGATGTTTCTCTCTCTCTCTATCTATCTCCCTCCCTTCCCTCTCTAAAAATAAATAAATACAATCTAAAAAAAGTGTGTAATTTAAATCCAGCAGCTCTGATTTTAGGAATGTATCCTTAAAAAACAGTTGAGTCAAGATAAATATGTGAGGATAATTTTGAAAATCACTGATTATAATAGAAGTCCCTCAGCAGAGGATTGGTTAATAAATTATGGAGCATATCTAGGCTGCAATGTCATATATATTAAGGAGCCTAAGAAGCAGGCAGCCTCATGGTTTCTTTAGTGTTTCACCAACACCCAAGTGGTCCTGGCCTCATGTTAGCCCCTGGCATTCATGCTAAAACCCCTGACTTCCCCTGCTGAGGGGGAATGATTCAGTGAGGAGCTGTGTGGAGGAGGAGGTGGTGGTGGAGATGAAGGAGGGGGCAATGGAGAAGGTCGAGCTGATTGCATTCAGGTGCACAGAAACCAGACAAAGCAAAGGCTGAGAATTGTGATGAAAAGTTGCATGATCTTGGTTCCTCCACTTCTATGAACCTCAGTTTCCTCTTCCAAACAGAGATACCATCCACTTCACAAGGGTATGTTTGACAAGTGTAGTGGTTAAGAGTTTTGGTTTTGTCAGATCTGAATTTGAACCTCAGGTCTAGCAGGTACCGGCTGTGTAGCGCTTTATGTAAGTCAGTGAGAGACTGAAGCATTTACTGAGTGCTTGCTGTGTACTAACCAACAGAATCCTCCCCAGCCTAAGATACTTACTCTTATTTTTATTCCAGTCTACAGGGTAAGAGTGGAGAGAGCAATCATTTGTCCGAGGTCCCAGCCAGGATTTCTCTAACCATCGCGTTATCCTAACTTTCCTGCACCAACTGGGTGCAGGGATAACAATAATTACCAACAATTCCTTATGTGGTTGGGAGGATTCACTAGGAGGACTGACGAAGAGCAGATGCTAATTAACTTGTTATTAAAACCATTATTATTATATTCTTTGAGTTTTTCTGAGTTTTTGAAGGGAGCAGGAACCGCTTCCACAAAGCCTTTGCCTTAAAAAAACCCAAAAACCTCAGGTGAGGGGTGGGGAAAAACCTTCCATCTTCTAAGCTTTTACTTAAGGCGTGGTAATAGGGACGTGGCCTAGAAGGCGGGGCGGGGCGAAGAAGGAGAGCCAGGCTGGAGGGGCGGGGCCAGAGCTAGGGTATTAAGGCTGAGGGCGGGGCTGGGAGAGAAAAGGCGGGGCTAGGTCTGGGGGCGCATGCTCCGTGGTTCCGCCCGCTCCTCTTCCTTCGCCGCCGCCGCCGCCCGCGCCACCGCCCACTCGGGGTTGGCTTGCAGCGGGCAGCCGGGCGCAGAGTAGGGCCGGGGTGGGTAAGCGCACGGCCATGGCCCCGTGGCTGCAGCTCTGCTCTGTCTTCTTCACTGTCAACGCCTGTCTGAACGGCTCGCAGCTGGCCGTGGCCGCCGGTGGCTCCGGCAGAGCGCGGGGCGCCGACACCTGTGGCTGGAGGGTAAGGAGAGGGCGGCAAGAAACTCTTCGTCCCCAAAAGCGCGGGGGGCGTAGCGGGAGCGGCGCGCACAGGTGCTCACGGGCGGCGGAGCCCGCGCTGACTTGCTTGGTTCCTCCGGAGTCTGCGGCGGGGCTGGGATCCCCACTGTCTCCGGACCTCTTTCCCTTCTTCCCTCCCGGGGCGCGCGTCCGCCAGCCCCGGCGGGGATGAAAGGGACCGCCAAACCCCGGCTTTGTGTTGCTAATGAGGCGCGGCCACGGGTCGGGGTCCCGCTCCGGGAAAGCGTGCGAGAGGGGCGCGCGGCAGCGGGGGCGAGAAGGGCGCCCCATCTTTTGTTCCTGGCCCGGGACTTCCAACGCCTCAGGGCTGCGCGCCCCGGAGCCCGGATCCTCGGGGCTGTCTCGACGTTGGGGCGGTTTCCGAAGCGGGAGTGGGAGTGTTACCCTGGACCTCTGGCCCACAGATCTGCCCAATCCGAGGACTGCCACAGAACGGACCTGGAGAGGCGGAGAGGGATGCGCCCCATTCTCGGGGCAGCTTTGTTCTTTCAAGGCCGGGCCGTCTTACCCCACTTTCACTCCACCCGCGACTTCTGATTTGCTGGGAAGTTTTGGTCCTCCATTCACTCCTTCATCAAAGGATGGTCTCAAGGATGATTCCCCCACTCCCATCCCACTCCAGCACGCCCCACCTAGGGTTGAAGATATTTTTCATCGCCAAAGGAAAGCAAGAGTTGGTCATTTGTGTCAGGTGCCCGAGACGAGACTAGAGAGGTGCACAGACTTATGCTGTGTGCTTGGAACCCTCTCCCTTTGATGCTGTCTGGGCGAATGGACATGGGGTGAGGAGCTGAGTGCACCAGGACGCTAGCGTTCCAGGTCCTTACTAGGATTCCTGGGCCTGGGTGGTCCTGGTACCTGGAGACTGCATCCATCTGCTCCCTACCTCCCACGAAAGCCAGGGCAGGCTGGCATTAGGGCACTCACAGCCTTCAGCTTTGTGTAGAGGACGTGGGCTTTGTGCTAAGGCAGCCATGGACATGACCTTGGCTCTGCTCCTGGGCAGCCATGAATCTCAATTTCTGCACCTGGAAAATGGGAGTAAACGGGGATTTGCTACTTTCACCAGCACTATTGCTCTAAGGGATGGGTATGAGGTAGTTTGCTTAGATTAATGTTGACCCACCTCTTCTGGGGTGCTCTGAAAGACTTTAGCGCAGTCAAGGCCTAGGACTAGACACCCTGTTAGGGGCACAGGCTGGTGCTTCCAGCTCACTTGCCCCACATTCTGAGAAACTGGAAAACCAGGTATGAGTAGGGCAGTTGGGATTTTAAGTCTAAGAGATGCACTATAGACAGCTATAGTCTACACTCTCACAAACCCCATAGTGAATATAAAACTTACTACTTGAGTAAAACAGCACATTTTCTTAACTCTCTCCCATTTTAGTAAAATAACATGATTGTGTTTTTACTTTAAAAACCTAGATAACAAGTTTTCAGATTAAAGTTTTCCTTAAAGCTATCTTATGTTGACTTATTGATGCTCCTAGATTTTTTTGGATCTAGACTGATAGGTTGGCTTTTGAATAACTGTAACAGCATCACAGGCATTTTACTCCAGGATTTCATATAACAGCATAGGTGAATCAGTCCAATTTCCTGGTTTTCTGCAATTGCATGGCTGGCTTCATGTGTCAGTACACAAAGCTTGTGAAGTTTCATTGCAGTGGGGAGCCAAGCCTGGGTGGTTTTGTTCTTTCTGCCTGTGAGAATGTGTTCTTTTCCCCTAAACTTGCACCCCTGCAGAATTAATGGTGCCCTTCCTCCAGTGGCCTCACATTGATGCTGACCTCTCCCCCACTACAACTCCTAGTTGGGGATGACCTCAGCAACTCCTACTTTGGCTCCACCAACCCTTTCTTCGGGTCATCTTCATCATCTTCAATCAGCATGAAAGCCTGTGGGCTATCCCCCAGATTCCAGACTTCCCAACCTTCCCTCTTGGATTTGCCTGTTGGCGCATCTGATGGAGCACCAGCTTTCCCTAACCCAGCTTGCCTACCTGCCTTGCATTCCCACTTTCCCAGCCACAGCCCCTCTCACTATGCTTCCTGACTCCTCTGCCCTTTATGCTGCCAAGGCATGCCTTTTCCTGAACGTGGGATGCCTTTTCCTCCTCTGAGAACCTGCTTGGCCTAAGACTCAGCTGAGGTGATGCTTCCTCAGAGAAGGCCTCCCACAATGCCATTCTCCTTGCTTTGCCTTCTCCTGCAGATCCTTGCACTTTGGTTCTCACCATACTACATCATCTGCATTTGTTCACATCTCTGTTGTCAGACTAGTCGGGCAGGCACTTAACCTCATGGTGGTGGCCTGAGAGTCTGGAACCCTGTAAATCTTGGCTGAACCCAGTTAGATCCTGCAGCTATCCTGCTAAATCCTATATTAAGTGATTGATTTTAAGAAGTGGGGGAGAGAGCAGCACACCAGGCTCTAGTATCCTTGCCACAGCAGGCTTATGCACATGCTCTTCCTGCTGGTGTTTCTTCTCTTTACACCTCAGCCTCCCCTCTGAGCATCACTTCCTGAGGGAAGCCTTCCCTGTTCTCATGTCTCTAAGTAAGTTCTTCCAGAAGTTGCTCTGTCAGAGGACTGGCCAGTAAATACTGGTGTACTGTGACTTGAGTATTTGATTCATGTCTTGACTCTCCTACTTGATGGTGGGTGTTCAGCCCATAAGTAGATGTTAGTCTCAATTATGAGGTTGCTTACAGTCTAGCTGGGGCTATGCAAACATACAAGAATAAGGGTCAGCTGTCTGTGATGCAAATGAGAGAGGGCTTCCTGTGGGTCCAGGCGACACAGAACCTGAGGGGACAGCAGGGTGGAGAAGTGAGCCCTGAAGGAGGGGCAGGATCTGGGTGCTGGAGAGGAGCTGAATGAATGACCCCCTTGATCTCCAGGAAGCATTTGTTCCAGGAACTCTTGCCTCTGCAGGAATGTGTATTTTCCCAGGACTTGTAAGGTGACTGCAGCCAGCTAACCCTCCCTTGGCAGCTCTGCTAACACACCCTTTTGGGCTGCTCTTAGAGGAGCCGGCCTGGTTTACGTGGTCAGGTTTCACAACCTCCCCATTATTAGTGGCACAATTAAGGGGCTGATACCATCTTGAACACAGCTCAGTGTTTTAGAAGTGAGGTGTGGGCACACTTCCTCGACTACTTAAAAAAAATCTCTTAGCACCCTTGCCAGGTAAAGTTGTTCTTTGAGTAATAAATACAATTTTCCCAAAGAAGTAACAATTTGTAAAACTTTCAGAGAGGAAGTTTTGCATCCTCATTGACACTGGGTCTTAACTCATGCTTTTTGATAGTGGGATGGGTTTGTTTGTATGGATCACTTGTGCTAGGTTTTTTCCCTTTGGGTCTTGCTGGGCATTTGGGGAGCCTGTTTATGTAACAAAGAATTAGGAGTCTGCTTGCACAGGGTTTTATTTAGTTGCTTTTCCTGCAGTAGAGGAAGAGGAGGGACATTGCTTATCTTCCTACCTCAACAGGATATACCTTCTCTGGTCTGTTATCCCTGAAGCACAGTTTCTACCCCCCAAATGTCTGCTCCTCCAGGAATTCAGGAAGCTAGAATGCTGGCATCGTCTTTACAATGAAGTGCAAGTTTCCCATTTAAGGCAAATACTTCATCTCAAAAGGTAGGAAGGAATAGGGTGGTACTTGGAAAAGAAGTTCCAGCTGGTTAAAATTTAGGTCCCTGATAAAAGTCCAATCCAAGAACTCTCCTTGGCTGTGGGCCCAGGCATGTTTATTTGATTCTGAATTGGATGCGTTTTCATTCACTTGCAGCCCATGGCTCCCAAGCCCGCATATGGTCTGCCTGTCCTGTGGCTATGTTGTCCATGTTATACATGCTCTTGTTTCCCTTACAGAATTCTTGGTTAAAAGAGACACAACGCTGGTTGTCACATTTTTCAGAGAGACATTCTTGTAAGTGTGATGTTTCTTCCAGTCTGTTTTCAGTGTTAATTGGGAATCCTCCTGGCCCTGGTTGTCTCTCTTGGGCAGCCCTCCCTTCTCACTCCACTGGACCCCAGAGCCCTCACTGCCTGGGGCATTGTGCTAGTTATTAACTTCCAGATACAGCTGGGTGAATGTGAGCAGCAACTAAGTGCAAGCTTTGGCACCACTCCTTCTGAACAAAATTTCTCAGTGTGAATCTGGAGGCTTACAGGACCAGGATTGTTTGGGGAGCTTGTTAAAATGCAGATTCAAGGCTAATGGACCCAGAATGGGAGTGAGGTGGGGCCCAGGAATTGGCATTTTGGAACAAGTTCCTCTGATGCTCACTCAAGGGTGAGAGCCATTGCTTTAGGAGACAGGCGTCCAGATTGGGAGAAAGGAGAGAGAAGCCACATTCTAAACATTTAAAATCAGAGTTTGATTTTAAATTATTTCGCTGGATTTAGAGAGGAAAGTGAAGACTTTGTCAGAGCTGTGGCCAATGAAAGGGGTCAGATTGCCTGAGAGAGGACCTGGGGAGCCAACTGGGCAGGACACCTGATTTGGGTGGGTACCTCTGGCCTGGGGTTGGAGAGGAGGCCAGGAGGGAAGAGGACCTGACACTTCCACTGGGTTCCTCCCCAGAACAGCTGGGCTTGTCTGGAAAATAGTCTTAGGAAAGAGTAGAGTAGGATCTGAATCATATTCTCACAGTTCAAACCTTACAGACGGCTTCCCTACAAAGGAAAGAACTGCTAATGCTTTTTTAAGTCTCTATTTTAAGTTGAGTGTTTTTCATTCTTCATTTGGCCTAAAGTGTGTGTTTTGTTTTTTAATATTTCAAAACCCTCTTTTCCCTCATAGGTCCCTAAACCTTTTACCTACTGTGCCCCTGCAGATGTGTGCTGTTGCTGCTGGGGCTGCCCCATCAACGATTAATTGTCCCTTTCTTTTCTCCTCACTTCCTCTTGTGTTGTCTGCCTCTGAT